TACATGGAACTCTGATCTATCAAGCAGTTAAACGTGAGATTGCTCTGATTGATGTGTGTAGGGGGGTAGCCCCCAGTGGTGGCCACCAAAGGGCCCCCGCAGATGCCCTGGGGCTTCTCAGAGTGGCAGGAAAACCGCAGACGACGGGAGCTTCATGACTTGTCCACAGTTTGCGGGTGTGAGAAGGTTCAAACCACACTTGTGCCCTGGAGAACTTCCCCCACCCCCCGGTGCTGTCCTCCCTCTTCTGACAGGGGAGAGTCAATACCTGCTTGGCAGTGTTGGGAAGCAGATCTGAGTGTGGCCACGCCAGCAAGTTTACCTGCACCCCCCTGGCTGCACTTGGGGAAGGGAAAGCAAAGGCTGACAAACCAAGCCAGGGTGCAGACATGTCTAATGCAGGCAAGTCCCAGAGGGACCGCGTGAGGCTCTGCCTGCTGGCACTGTCCTCGGCCTGCTGGGCCCCTGGAGGCCAAGTCATTCCACTGCAGGGCTCTGGGCCACAAGGCAGCCACCTGCAGGGCCTCTGAACTCGCCCTTTCAATCAGCCTGTCCCCTTCCACACTCACCCCCACTTGCCTCTGGGGCTTCATTCGCCTGTGTGAGCAGCACCCTTAGCATGCCCGGGGAGAGGCCAGCACCCCTTTCTACCTTGGGCATCTCAGACCTGACCTCCTCAAGAGGGGGCTCACCGTTGGCCACGGCACCCACACCTGCCCCTCCCCCAGCTTTCCTCTTTTAGCTGCTGGGATTGCATCCACCCAGGATTAAGGCAGATACGTGGATGCAGGTTTCATTCCGTCCAATTAGACAGCAGGTCCTGCTGTCCTCCACCTGAGTATCTCTTGATAAAGTCTCTATGGTAAAGACCTGGTTCCTTCATCTTTTCAGGGCTGCCACATCTATCACTGGACTATTAGTGACAACAGCACCCTGATTGATCTCCTGCCTCTGTTGGCCTCCTGCTCTCCCAGTGTGTACGTTCTGGGGGGGGGGGGAGACCCTTCACAAAACACCAGCCAAATACATCAAGTAATTTCAGCCTGTGATAAGCGACGTGGATGAAGGAGAGAGTGCTGCGATGGGGCACCTGGGGCTACTCTATGTCCCACAGTGCGGGGGTGGGTGTCAAGGAGAACTTTTAGGCTAAGACCAGCAGGAGGAGGAGAAGTTGGTTATGAAAGACTAGGGGTGGGGGGGGTCATTCCAGACACAGGAGCAGCTGCTGCAGAGACTTTGAGGCAGGTATAGGGTGCAGGGTGAGGAAGGAGGTGAATGGGAAGGTGGGGTAGGATTAGCCAGAAAGACAGTGGCTGGAGTCTGCTGGGTCCTCCAGGTCATGCTTGAGAATTTGTATTTTTTCCTGAAGGCACTGGGAGCCACTGATACTTTCAGTGGCTTAGTACAGGATCTGGTTGCTCTTTCGGCACTCACCCTGTTGGCTTGCTGAGCGGAGGGGGACCGGGAGTGGGGTGAGGTGGGACCGTGTGAGTGCGTTCAGTACATCAAGCCTGACCCTGAGCTCCTGAACCGGGCACTTGGTGATTACAGTGGGAGTGGATCTAAGGAGAGCTCCCCACTTCACTGTGAGCAGTTTGAAGACAAGGACTAAGTTTTATTTTTCTCTGTATCCACAGGACTTAGCACAGGCCTGGCACTGACAGCCAGTATGTTTACTGCATGAGCAAGTGGCAGTGAGATTTTAGTGCAGGCTTGTGTATGTACAGTCTGCTCCCGACCTTAGTCCCACTGTCACCAAACAGAGGGGACAGTGACCCGGTACTTCCTTGTCCCAATTTAGGTGTAATGCCCGAGCCTCTTCAACCTTATTTCAGCACTAGAAATATTTGGAGGCTGGGGTGGGGAGATGGGCACCCCACACAGTGAACCCTGGGGCCCCATGTCTGCTGGGCTGGGCCTGGTCTGGAACCGTGGGGCAGGCTCGGCGGTCTGAGTCACTGGCACCAGGGGCATGCCGACAGCATGCCAGGGCTCTGTGTCTGAGGGATGTTGCTTTTAGAGTGAGCTTATTCCCCTACATTCAGGTCCCCTACATTCTGATTGGCTGAGAGGCTGAATGTGCTACAGCAACAGGAGGGCAGGCTTTGTGGTGAAGACAGCGCAGCTGCAGACAAAGCGCAGAGATCAGAGACTGGTTCCGCCTTTGCCTTGCTGGCTGGTGCTGATGAGACGGTTTCCTCATCTACAAATCAGGCACACTCACGGCCTCAGGGCCATTGTTAATATGTATCCAGCAGGCCAACCAGAAATGTGTCCTGTGAATGAGGACCAGGACAGGGACTTTGTCTTGTCTCCAGAGAAAGGCATCGACTGGGTGGACAACAGATACTACAGGGACCCCACCCCACCCCCCAGCTTCCGGAGCCCCTGCCCACACCAGATGGAGGGATCTGTCTGTGTCCCTTCTGTTCTACAGGAATTAGGAAGAGCCTGGGGTCTACACTGTGATCTCTCCTAATCGAGGGGTGAGGCGAGTGCTGGGGTTGGTTTGGTCAAGTCCCCCATTGAGAAGCTGGGGCTGGAAACTTTGTTTCAGGGGGCTGGGAACAGGGGGACTCCATGGCAGAGCAGTGCAAGAAACACCAACGGTCAACCTCCAGGGAAGCTGAATCCAAATTCTAACTCCAGGCCCTTGGGCCTTCTCTGCGCGGTCAGAGAAGAGGTCAGGACTGAGTGAGCAGAGCCCAAGCCAATGTACGTGGGGTGCTTGCAACTGCTGGTGGGCACGGGAGCGTGGCTGTGCCTGTCTGACTTCAGGAGGCCTTGGGTCCCAGGCCAGGGCTCCAGGACCTCGAGGGTGCACCAGATGCAGTCAAATCAGTGCAGCAGCAGCCAGAGGAAAGCACATCATGTTGGGATGGGCCTGGCACTTGGTGGTTGAGCTCCCAGAGCACCCTTCGTATCCTGCTGTTAGAGCATATTCACAGTGTGAGGTGCCATATTTATGTGTTAATCTTCCCTTGGAGCTGGGGACTGTAACGTTCAGCTTCTTAGGCCTATGACACAGCACAGGGACCAGACTGGTGCACAGTCAGTCTTCAGGACATGAAACGTGGAATTAACACAGGATACACCATCTTCCTCCAGCCCTCCCTCCCTGCCTGCCCAGGAGCTCAGCTCTGTGCTCTGGTGTAAGGGGCCAAGGATGGGCTCCAGCTGGGCCGTGGGCCACTGGTAGTACAGGTGGGCTTTGGTCTGCAAGGATTGGCGCTGTTCTGGAAGACTGGCAAAGGGCAGCTTATCCAGGGCTGAGAGAGTGTCTCTGGACCAGCCCATGGCTGGCTCTCCCAGGTGAGCCCCCCAGACTGCATCTGTGCCTTTAGCTTAAGGAGCTGCCTGCTCTTTGCTCTACTTTGCCATCTGGGAGCCTCAACCTACCACGTGGTTTGTCATCCCTAGAGACCCACCGTCAATTATTTCTGCCCACATTTCCGAGGCCCCAGAAATCATCTCCTGATACCAATGGGCTGAAGGCAGGAAAGGAAGAGACGTGCTGAGGGGACTAAGCTCAGATCTCTGTCTTGACCGTTAGGAGGAGGGACTTCAAGGATGCTTTTATGTCAGCCAATTCAATCACCACCAGTCTGCATGCAATCCAATGGCTTTTGAGACCTCACTTATCTTCTCAGAATCTCAAGGCGGCCTCAACTCCCGGCATGACATTGGGCAAGTAAATTTCTCTCTCTTGGCCTCAGTGTCCTCATCTAAGCAGTAAGACCAGCTGGTTGGGTCACCATAGATCGCAGGTCCCTCCCAGCGGTGACATTTCAGCATCCACTGTCTTTGATTACCTTCCCAGAGGCAAGGGGCCGGACTAGATGCCTTTGGAAAGTGCATCAAGCTTAAAATTTGCTCTCTCGCTGTCTGGTGCTCCCACTCAGCGGCCGCAGGTGCTACTCCCTCCCTCCACGCCAACGGCGCACCCCCACCCCACCCAGGCTCCCCGTCAGATCCGGGCCTGGCCCTTTAGCCTGGCAGCTCCGGAAACGCTGGGGCAGCGCTACAGCCGCGACTGCGGCGGTGGCGGAGGCGCAGGGGGCGGGGGAGTGAAGCGCCCACTTGTTCCCGCGGCCTCCGCAGCGGCCTTGGCCCTGATCCCGGCGCGTCAGAAGGGTCCTTAGAACCCCTCGGCTCGTTGCTCGGGCTCGGGGCCGGCTGGTAGTTCACCACCGGTCGACAGCACAGAAGCGACCCCTGTGGCCTCGCAAGCCCCCAACTTGGCAGAGCTAGCGCAGGCGCCTCTTCGCTCCCGGACGCGGTAAGGCAGGGGCCCGCGGCGCTCCGACGCCGCCGTCTCGCCCTTCCCGTGCCTAAGCGCCAGGAATTCCACCTCCCGGGTCCGGGGCTCGCCGGGGCTGAGGGGTGGGAGCGGAGGTGGGGAGCACCATTTCTGGGGGGATGTGAGTCTACATTCATTGTTTCTGTCTGGACCGCCGAAGC